TTTTGTGTGAAATATTTGGAGAAAAATTGCTAGATTTAGAACAATTCCATATTACACAATGTTACTGTGGACGCCATAATAAACTAGTTGTGGAAAGAGCTATCTTCGTATCATTTTTTTTTCGAACATTGCAATATCGTTTGGAATATTTTTATAGTAGTGTTTGGTTTGATTTTGTAACTTTCAATCTCTACAAATTGAGGCTCCTGGGCATAACCCTTTTTCACAGCATTGGGTGGTAAAAACGAAAATAAGGAAATTGTATATATATGTTTTGTTACTTTAGTTTTTCACTTTATTAATATAACACACGTGCTATGTTGAGAAAAAAAAATCATCTTACCATATAAAGAAATGCGAATTGCAAATATGGAACAATTACATGCATAAGCATCCTCTATTAATGAAAAAAAACAAAAATGGCTGCCACCAGGGTTTGACCGGACTCTACACAAAGAAGTTCACTGATTCTGTTCTAAACTTTTGTATTTCGGCATTCCCATGATGTATCATTGGGAGGAAAAGATGTATAATAATAAGGTTATATATATGTCGAACAATACTCCAGCTGTACTGTCTTTGTACATACTTTACGGTATCCTCATAATAATCTTATATTACATGATATGTCTTAATTAATATATGACATCTTGATTTCTTCGATAGAGAACGTACCTACGTGTTACTTCTTATCATTATTGTTTCGATTGGTCATGCTTTTGGACGAAGCGATCCCAAGGATCATGATGACAAATCTACAACACACATTGCATTCTCGGATCTTGACGGCACTGGTCCTTATAGCGTCTATGCCGATTTCAGAATATGTAAGTTTCCTGAAGTTGCATTATCACTATGCAGATTCTCAGAGGTACCATCCACTGAACCCGTATATACACCATCTAATATTGTGAATGGGTAGTTGGGGAAATTAATTATAGAATTTGATGCCTCCTGAAATAAGATAGATTTGTAAATCAATACTCACTGAGTTAAGACGTTTTTGTTTGTTCTTGACTTTCTCAAAAAACAGAACCATTTTAACACATTTCGTGCTTTTAGCTCATTTGGGAATGCAACTTTAAACGTAATCGTAATCACCATGCAGCATGTTGTAAACTGTATACAGCACGCATGTGGAATAAATTATGTACATGTACTTAAGCAGCATGTGATAGAATCGACCACCGCTATGTGTCTTTTGATACGGTCGCTGAACTGCCTTCATGATACTTTGTAGTATTCTTCTAATAGCCCCTTTTTATACATCTGTTTGTGTATCTCCATATTAAACTCACATCATGTTGTAATTTTGCGGTATTCATCGAAGTATCTGCATCTTATTTTATCAATATAAGGCAATTTCAATTTTATATATACTGACAGAACCATATTATTTTCAAAGCAAGTTTTAAAGAAAATAAAAAAAAAATAGAAAGACCACCATGCCGAGTGGTTGTACATGTATTTGGAAGATGTATAATATCAACTTTTTCACCACCAATTCCCTATTTTCATCACAAATTCCCTATTTTCATCACAAATTCCCTATTTTCATCACAAATTCACAAAATAGTCCTATTTATACATGTAGTTTACACTTTCCTTCAAAAAACTGAGATAATAATAGCCAAATTTTTTTCAAATAAAAACTAAAAATGTACTCAAAAGTTTGTCTGTTGGCTCCAAAATTAAGGTTTATTTCCTGAATAGAATATAAGAAAAAAGTGCACTCAAATTTAGGCAAGGAAGTCTGGTGGTGAAAAGGTTACGGTTATTATGAGGAATATGCTATCCAGTGTACTCATCAACCTCATCTACACATCAGTCAACACTTGAACTGTGTTGTTTTCATGTCCACTTCTCAATATCCTTATTAGATCTTTATATGCATGCAATGTCGCCAGGAAAACGTATCGGTAATAAATTGTGCACTTCTGTTTATTTCAGTATTAGTATTGGTAAGTCTTATAGGACTTGGAGGCTTTGCACCACGTTTTATGACAGAGCAATTCATAGCAGCACCACAGAAATCAGAACCTAAGACATTTAGTACAATGATATGGTCTGTCAAATTTATGCATGATAATAATGGTTGGTCAACGTTTGATAGAGCTGCTACAGTAATCAATAATACAGGTAAGCAATGAAATGTCTCTTGATCAACATTTAAAAATAAAAAAAAAAAATATACTGTAAATTTAAATTAATTTTTTTTTGCAGAAGCTGATGTAATTTCATTTCTTGAGAGTGATGCGTCAAAACCGTTTTTGGGAAACAATGACATCACAATGTGGATGTCTGAAAAACTTGGAATGTACAGTGATTTTGGACCATCCACAGCTTCACACACATGGGGGTATGTACAGTGATTTTGGATATTTAAGCAAACTCTGTCTCTAGCTGTAATGGTCTTTACGCTGTTAGTGTCATTTATATCTGCCAGGGCAAATGTTTTCTGATGTCAATGTCAAATCACGCTTCCACTAAACTTAAATTCTGCAGCAGAAAACAATTAAATAATCAAAAATGAAAAAAAAAGTAAAATATGGTATGGCTTTGAGAATTCACTCAGTAAATGAAATGAAAAAATATACATGTAGAATAGAACCTTTCGTCCGAACGGAGACTAATAATTCGGTCTCCGTCCGTGCGTCTGTGCGCCATCCAAAGTCATATCTCAGAATCCTGTGGACCGATTCCATTCATTCTTTGCATGTGCCTAGTACCTTATGTGGGACATATGCACATGCAGTGGTTTAGTGATTCGATTCAAAATGGCCGACTGTTGTATTTTGGACATGCTTTGTCAGTTGTCATTCAAACTTGGTACATAGATTATACATGTTAGGATATATGTCCATGACAATTTATTTCGCAATTGGATCAAAGATGGTCGACTGGAAGGCATCTTGTTTTTTTTTTATGCGGTATCTTGGACATGCTCGGTCAGTTTTCATTCAAATTTGGTACATACATGTACTTTATACATGTTAGGATGCATGTCCATGACAATTTGTTACAAAATCTGGTCAAGGATGGCCGATTGACAGCCATCTGACTTTTTGGCCTTACTACTATATTTCGACAATTTATGTAGCATTTTCAGTCGTATTTGGCACATACGTATTTGGCACATACATATCTCATTCAGTGTATTTCATAATCAGATCAAAGATGGCCGAATAACGGCTGTTTTTATTTTTGGCCATATTACTAATATCATGGAGCACGTGTTTTGATGTAAATAAACAATCTGTTGTTTACGCCACTTGAAACTCAAGTTTCAAGGACACGCTCACGACAACCCCTCCGCTTTAATATGACGAGCACAAAGAAAACTTTAAAAAATTTAACGGGGACTGTGTCATTTTCAATGACTTGTTTCTATTGTATCATACCCTATATATATGAGGTTTTGGTGAAAAAAAAAATAATAATATCTGGAGAAGAAAAAAACTTTCCAGAAATTTGTATTTTCTGAAGTAGCTGGTAAAGCATTTACTTTTACCGTACTTCCCCGAGTATAAGCCCAGGGGCCTGAACATACCGTCTGAATTTACGGTGCAAAAATGGGTAGGGTCCGTGGGAAAACGGTCAAGAGCAAGATCGTACACAAACTCTCATTACAAAGCTATTTCCGCCATGGTTTCATCATAATTTGACCTGAACAACTTCCTTTGAACTAACAGGTCACGTCTTTCATTAACCAATGAAAATGTTCTGTCATACAGTTGAAGTTTTCCGATTATTGACGAAGTATTTTTATCAACGCAATGCGGAAGTGTATTACCGTGATGTTAAAATGCGATCTGTTAACACTGATTTCGACAAAAAATTGTGACTTTTTCCCCTCAAAGCTGTTGATTCGCAATTTTCGAAAGGTAAACTCAGGGTGAGGAAAGTATTTAAACCTTTCACGGCCGCCAAAAGGTCATGTCGAAGAATAGTTTGCTCGTTCACACCCCATTCACGATAGTCTCAATGGACAAGATTATTCGGAAAAGTAAAACAATGATAGTGACCAGGTTTCACGACTTGATGATCACATTTTTGTCGTTTGAAAAACTACTACTCAAAAGAAATATGGATTATTTCAGTATTGCAACATCGAGGTTCATCCCGAGTAAATAACAGAATAGAAAACGTACGAACTATGTACATTCGCCCGCACTCTGAAATTAATGCGAGTTTTCTCGTAAAAGCTAGAACCAAACTACCGTACTAATCATGATTTTTATGCAATGAAATACACTTTTTACATGCATATTTTAATAAATGTCGTCAACGCCCAGTAAAAACACCCTGGGCCTATACTCGGGAATACTCTTAACTCGTTAAATGTCTCAAAACAGAGGGGTGGGCTTATACTCGGGGAAGTACGGTAATTGAATATCAGGGAGTTACAAAAATAAAGAAAAAATTAACTCTTTTTTTTTTTTTTGAATACTGAGCTAAAATGGGGGGAATTTGAGACAAGTGCGAGTACAAGAGCATTTTGAAATGCTTTAGAAGGAAAAAAAACGTTTGAGGCGCATAGTTCAAAATGATGCGCTCGGAAATGAGAAACAGAGATATTTTTTTTCTCAGCCTTACATTAAACAAACAAATATTAATACTGTCACCATACAACACTGATTACATGACCATAGTGTCATGGATTTCACCTGTATTGTTCAGTCATAAAAACAAATGTAACTACCTCATCGTTAAACGGATTTCTCTGAAAGTTGGATTAATGACAGCTGAAAAATTCCCAATAGTGCCCTTCAAATCACAGGCTCCATTTCAATTTTATTAAATTGCTGTAAGACTCAAAAGTGAATCCATCCATCATTTTATGGCTCTACTAAATGAAAATATAAATAGAGATTTTCAACTATAGAGGGCGATATATACCACAGGATCTTGGGTGTATATATAGTCTATATTTCATTTACAGAAATAATTTGATGTCGAAGTACAAAATTGTGAAAGCAGTACATCATTTGTTGCCCTCTCCCGATGGGCAAGTAGGACCAGCAATCCATGCAACTCTCAACATATCGGGGACTATGGTAGACATTGTTACAGCTCGCAATGGCAATTATCGGTGAGTATATGTGTGCCTGTGGTGTCACGTGCATGTAGGCAGTGCATGTCTGTAATGGGATGTATTCATGTAATTAGTAATTCTCTAACACCTCCATACTCTCTTACCTATATAATATAGTATCTTAATTGTGTCGTTTTAAGTTTAGACTTTTTGGAAGTCATCCAACTAACTGAGACATAGCTGAAATCGCAACTTACTGATGCGTGAATTAGAAAGTACTCACTGCATAAAGTTATTATGAGGATACCGTAAAGTATGCACAACGACAGTACAGCTGGAGTATCAATCGACGCGCAGCGGAGGTCGATGCACGGCGTATTGTCTGAGTGCATACTTTGAGGTATTCTCCTTATATTAATCTTATTATTATACATCTTTTCCTGTTAAGGATACATCATGAGAATGCCGAAATCCAAAAGGTTTAGAACAGAATCAGCGAACTTCTGTGTGTGGAGTCTGGTCAAACCCTGATGGCAGCCATGTTTGTTTTTATTATTAGAAGATGCTTATGCGCGTAATCATTCCATATTTGGAATTCGCATTTCCTTATATGATAGGATGAAAGTACCCTGTAAAAAATTGCAAAATCACGGCACGCTGTAACTTATGGCGTTATGGTGA